TCCCATTCTAAGGAAGGCTCTCTGGATCCAAAACATTAACTCTGTTTCTCTTTCTCTCTCTGCACAGACCTGCTGAGTTTCTCCAGCACTTTCTGTGTCTATGACCTGTAACATTAACTCTGTTCCCCTCTCTCTCTGCACAGACCTGCTGAGTTTCTCCAGCACTTTCTGTGTCTATGACCTGTAACATTAACTCTGTTCCCCTCTGTCTCTGCACAGACCTGCTGAGTTTCTCCAGCACTTTCTGTGTCTATGACCTGTAACATTAACTCTGTTTCTCTCTCTCTGCACAGACCTACTGAGTTTCTCCAGCACTTTCTGTGTCTATAACCTGTAACGTTAACTTTGTTTCTCTCTCTGTCTCACACAGATGCTGCCAGACACGCTGAGATTTTTGCAGCAATTTCTAATTTGTTTCCCGATTTCTAGAAGTTCTTTTGGTTTCCCGTTTGTTGTGATGATATCTAACCTCCCCTTCCTCTCTCTGTCTCTCTCTCTCTTTCTGTCTTCACCCAGATAACAGGTGTGGAGATGGCTACTCATCAGATAGCCAACGTTCCCTTATTGGCGATGAATTCAGTGCCAGTGAGAGTTCCCAGCTGATACCAACTTCAGGAGAACCGACCATAGAGACACTGCAAGGTAAGTGTAACCCTCACCCTTGCACCCAACCTGGTGCTTGGGGGTAGAACAAAACTAGACCTCAGATCCTTCCCTTCCTTAACAATTTTTTTTTGGGACTCAGAGGTACTGAGTGAGGGTCAGTAAGGCAAAACACTTTTCTCCTGGAGTCTCTCCCAACCATGTACAAAGGGACTAGGTGTTCTCTATCAATAAGACAGAGGACACGGTGACTCAGTGGTTAGCACTGCTGCCTCACAGCACAAGGGACCTGGGTTCGATTCCAGCCTCGGGCCACTGTCTGTGTTGAGTTTGCACGTCCTCCCTGTGTCTCTACAGGTTTCCTCCCATAGTTCAAAGATATGCAGCATAGGTGGATTGGCTATGCTATAGTGCCCAGAGGTGTTGAGGTTAGGTGAGTTAGACATGGGAAATGTAGGGGAATAGGTCTGGGTGGGATGCTGTTTGGATAGGCAGTGTGGACTTGTTGGGTTGAATGGCCTGTTTCCACACTGTAGGAATTCTATGATTCTATGTGGGGAATGGTGGGAGAGAAACAGAATGTGGGGAAAAAAGCCGAAAATAAAACAGGGAGAAAGGGGAAGAGTGAGAGACAGTGCAAAGAAGGGAGTGTGGGGACACGTAAGAAGGGGGAGGAAGGGAATGAGTGAGAGGGAAAGAGAGAATGTGTGGGAGAGAGGGAAAGAGAATGTGAGAGGAAAAGAGAGAATGTGTGTGTGTGAGAGAGAGACTATGAGAGGGAAAGAGAGAATGTGTGTGTGTGAGAGAGAGAGACTATGAGAGGGAAAGAGAATGTGTGTGAGAGAGACAGAGTATGAGAGGGGGAGAGAGAGTGAGAATGTGAGCAGGAAGGAGAGAGAATGTGTGAGCGAGTGCCTGGGAAAGGAGAGAGAGATAGAATAAGAAGGGGCTTTAATGAATACAGATAGACAAATACCGTCACTCAGTCCCACAAAAGCTTTCATCTTCCATTAGACATTTCTTGCTGAGGTAGTGATGAGGGAAATCTCAAATGGGCCATCGAAAAATCAATTAGAGCTCAGCTCAGCAAGACGGAGATGTGAATAGGTGTACCTTTGGTCTGTCTGACAACCTCAGCACCCTCAGTGGCATGCACATCAGCCATTTCTACACAGCAAGATCCCAACCTGTATCTCCCACACTCCCCCCCCGCCCACCAAACAACCCCCTTCACACACAGGGTTAGTTAAAGCATGAAGGAGCTTCACTGTTTATCTAACCCCATGCTGTCCCTGTCTTGGGAGTATTTGATGGGGGGACAGTGTAGAGGTAGCTTTACTCTCTATCTAACCCCATGTCCTGGG